TCAGTCGCTTTTTTTTAACACAAAAACGCTTCAGAAACTCATTGTGAAAGTAGCCTAACACTTTAAAAATCAGCTTTTTTTCTTCAATTACTAATAATAGTTTTCTTACATTTTCTTTACAAACCCGTTGAACCTTCTTTACACACAGGATCAGTGAAATAGTGAAATAGACTGGGTGTCCCCAGGGTGTGCTTAAAATTCAGGACCAGTCAGTAAAGTGCTATGCAAACTGTTGGTGCTATATAAATCCTTTACAATAATAATCCCTGACTTCTGGCTGGGTGCTGAATGCTCATCCTCTGTAATCAAACCCATCTCCACCAATCATCATCCAATGTAGGGATTTCACATGTCCACTAAGCTCCAAGTGTAGAGAGACGGAGGTGGGGCATTGTGTTCTGGTAGGCGTGGCAAAGCAGCAAGTCAGACAAAAGTCAAAGCCATATCCTTGTTTGAGACTGGGCTTTCTCCTAGTGATCACCTTGTACTTGTACTAGGCACAACCATCTCCCTATCTGTCATTTGTGATCTGACAGATTCGGAGTAGGGGTAAAATGAGTATCCTGTAAAGATGTGTATCCCCTGAAGCAATGGTTTGTTTCGACCTGAAGAAGCCGATCGCCGATCTCCGACTTTAGCACAGAGCTGCCACAATTAACCCCTTACAGACTGCACTCTGCTGAAGCTGATCCTGTGGATCACTATGGGTTGCAAGATCAATCGGATCTGCGGATTGGGGATCATACTGGATCAGAGAGAGGACAGTGACATGGGGGGGGGGGGGGACAGTGATAATGGGGAGGACAGTGCAGTGACATGGGGGGGGACAGTGTCAGGCACATGGGGGAGCAGTGACAGTGACATGGGGGGAGCAGTGTCAGACGCATGGGGATGCGGTGACAATGACATGGAGGTTGCAGTGTCAGTGACATGGCAAGGACAGTGTCAGTAACATGGGGGTCAGTGGCAGTAACACAGTAATGGCGGGGGGGGGGGGGGGGGGGGGGGCAGTGGCAATGACATGGAGAGGACAGCGGCAGTGACATGGGGGGGAGCAGTGTCAGTGACATGGGGGGGGGGGTCAGTGTTAGGCACATGGGGGAACAGTGAGAGTGACATGGAGGTTGCAGTGTCAGTGACATGGGGAGGACAACGTCAGTGTCATGAGGGGTGGCAGTGACATGTGACTTGGGGGAGACAGTGTCAGGCACATGGGGGGACAGTGGCAGTGACATGGGGGAGCAGTGACATGGGGAAGACAACATAAGTGACATGGGGGAAGACAGTGTCAGTGACATGGGGGGGGGTAGTGTCATGGAGGGCAGTGTCAGTGACATGGGTGGGGAGGGGGCAGTGCCAATGACATGGAAAGGACAGTGTCAGTGACATGGGGAGCAGTAACAGTGACAGGCACATGGGAGGGGAGTAGCATGGGGAGGACAGTGTCATTGACATGGGAGGGGCAGTGGCAGGGATTTGGGGGGGGGGCAGTGTTAGTGAAGGGGGGGGCAGTGACATGGGGAGGGACAGTGATAGTGACATTGGGGAGGACTGTACTCTCTGATGTCACTATCACTGTCCTCCCCCATGTCACTGCCCCCCCCCATGTTACTGACACTGTCCTCCCCATGTCACTGACACTGTCCGATGTCGCTGCAGAGAATTTGGCATGTAACAACTCCCGCCGACCACTCGGCATGTAAGGGGTTAATAATTCTCTGTGTCCCACTGCCAACCACTCAGCATGTAAAGGGTTAATTTAATTCAGGTACATGTTCAGATGCAGTTCTATAATCGACTGGTTGTGCCTGAAACCGGCACATGCGCAGTTTCTTCAGGGGATACACATATTCACGGGATACTCATTTTACCGCTACACTGGTCAAGAGGGGAATTGTCATTTATTAACCACTTGCTGTCCGGCCGCTGTACATAAACGGTGGGACGGTGGCAGTCCAGGGGCGGGTTGCTGTTCATAAACGGCACCTGCCTTTATGGACTGTGTGCGCTCCCTGGGATCGTACACCAATCATTGTACGGGACCTCTGTGCGAGGTCCCGATCATGTGATCACTGAATGACCAATCAGTGATCACATGCAGCGTAGTAAGCAAGATGTCACTTCTGACATCATTGCTTACTACGTGTGAAATCTGTGACTGATCATAGAGGTCACATGGTACAAGGCTATTCACAACAGCCTTGTACCATGTGACAAGCTGTGACCTATCACAGCTCACACAGTAGTTATCAATGGCTGCAAGAATGCAGCCAGAGAGAAGGAGAAATGATTGCTTTTACAGCCTTTATGAGTGGAAAAGCAATCAGTGTAAAAAAAAACTGGAGCTCCACTGGACAGGAGACATGTGACCTTCACTTCCCTGAATTGTGTCTACTGGTTGTTTGTTACATTAACCTCCCTGGCGGTCTGATTATTTCAGATTTTTGGTGTTGAAAGCGGTACCATTTTTTTGCATGGAAATATGTATTTTTTTTTATTGTAGGCCTGTAATTTAGGAATAACTCCCTGAAATCTGTCCGAACAAGAGTCTAGTAAACATTCCGGATATGATAAAACTTGAAACACGAAATCATAAATTATAATTTAATAAATACTCATAAAAATAATAATATAATAATAATAAATTTAATTCAATAATATAATCAAACCAAAAACACTGAAATTTAAAATATAGCGCCAAGTTCGCACATCACTGAGCAAAGTCGCAAAATCGTTTTCAGTGTCTGATGACGAATTTTCCCACGAATCATTATCACTCAATTCTGCAAGTGGTTCTGATTTACTATCGCTGTTCTCTAGCTGATCTAAACCCGCTTTTGACATAAAGGGGCACTTTTTGGACGCCATGGACGTTTTCTCAGTTTCCAGGCAGAAAGAACAGTCAAAAAATGCAGGCAGGGCACAGGACAAAGCAGTAGGGACAACATGTATGTGGAATGCTTTGATACAGGAATGTTTTGCTATGAAATAATTGTTTTTAAAAAAAAATGTCATTTTTTTTACATTTTAAAATTTGCCGCCGGTTCTGGCGCCCGTACATCCCGACGTCACAGGGACCGGAACACGGAAGCCAGATGCCAGCATCGGCCGGAGGAGATGGCCGGGAACACTGCAGGGGACACATCGCGGGAGCGAATTACAAGGTAAGCGCTGCAGGGACTCCCCTATGCAACGCTGCATGGTAAGCCCGAGTGTAGCTCGGGGTTACCGCTTTTGGTACAGAAACTTTACCCCGAGCTACACTCGGGAATACTGCCAGGGAGGTTAAAGTTCATTTTTAAAAAGCTTCAGTGGAAGTCAAATGTTTCTTTTGGAGTGGAGCTCCAGTCTGCAGCCATTAGTTGTTTGTTACATTAACGTTTATTTTTAAAAAAAAAAAAAAAAAAAAAAAAAAAAAAGCTGGCGTGGAAGTCGCATGTTTCTTATCGAGTGCAGCTCCAGTCTGCAGCCATTGGTTGTTACATTAAAGTTCATTTTAAAAAAATGGAGTGGAGGTCACATGTTTCCTGCCGAAAATGGAGCTCCGGTCTGCAGCCAGACCCCCTTGGAAATCTCAATCAGAAGCGAGCTTGCTGGCCTTGTGATTGTAGGGTTGTGTCTCGCGATATCTAGTTATCCCCTTCCATGGAACAACAAAGCATGAGACTTCCTCTTTCCGTACAGAGGTCGCAAGAGCCAATCATGGTTGCCGGGGGCGTGCCCGGGCGGGAGATGACTGTGAACCTACAGAGCTCAGTCTTAGTGTGAGAAGAAGAGCGGCCGGGTAGGTAAAATGGCGGCCTGAGGTTCCTGAGTGCTGAGTCACTCCTAGTTGTAGGGCGATACTGGGAAAGGTGTAATAGGAGGGACCTTTTTATACCGCTCCCTGGCTTTAGTTGAGATGTCATTAAAGAAGTAAGCATGCATATGAGGAAATGCGCCACAGCGAGCCGGACTTAATAATAGGCTGACTGGTCTGTGTGTGAGGAGAGCATTCTAGAGATGGGCCAGCATGAGCAGTATGAACGTATGTACAGCCTTTGTTCTGGGCTGGGAGAGGGACCGCAGCTACGTGTCTTCTAAGAACAGTGAGGCCTCATGCATGCTGGCCATTCACATGTCTCCTGAGCGCCATTTAGCCTCCATGCACACTGGCAGTTTTTTAAGCTCATAAAAACTGCAAAACCACATGTAATAGCATTTTACAGTATATTATTATTATACAGGATTTATATAGCGCCATGTTTGCGCAGCGCTTTACAATATAACAGGAGACAATACAGTTCAATACAAGAGGGATAGGAGGGCCCTGCTCCTTGGAGTTTACAATCTAAGAGGGAGGGGCTAGTGGTACAGGAGGAAATAGCTGTGGGGGATGGACTGGTTGGAGGAGTAGAAGATTCCATTATTACCTGAGGGCAGGATAGGCTTCCCTGAAGAGATAGGTTTTCAGAGATCGCCTAAAAGTGAGCAGAGTAGGCGATAGTCTGATAAATTGGGGTAGAGAGTTCCAGAGGATGGGGGAAGTGCTATAGAAGTCCTGGAGATGAGCATGGGAGACAAGGGAGCTGGAGAGTATATGTAGGAAAAAAGCTGTTAGTAGCGTTTAGCTTTTATTCTGCTCCTAGACGCTGAAGCTAAAAATCCACTAATAGCCTAAAGTAGTGCACATGGACACAGGATAACAGCATTATTTAGCTTCTAGGAGCTTAAAAAACTCTAATGTGCAGGGAACCTTATGCCTGGCAGCTGAAAAAAACGCACCCTAAGTCGTGTATTGCACACTCATTTAGGTGTGTTGAGCGTTTATGGAGGATATTCAGAACTTTTTTTTTTTTTTTGCTATTGGAATGAATACTCAAGCGCTAACTGCTTCTAAACTTTTTTCTGCTCCAAAGCTCCTCTCCTGAACACAGTTTGTTGGAGGCTGGCTCTATTATTGTGTACATGTGACTTTTTTTTCTGTAAATGTAATTTGTGTTTTGATGTCAGCTTTATAGATGAACAGAATTCGGATTCACGTTCTGCCGAGTAGAGGGCGTCTGACGCCGGTGTCCAGGACCTATGAAGCTCTTTCCTGTGCCTACACACACCGCCCATGCTCCCAGCCGCGTATCGATGGCTATGAGTTCTGCATCAAACACATCCTGGAAGACAGGAACGCTCCCTACAAACAGTGCAGCTATGTCTCTAATAAGAACGGGAGACGCTGCACTGTGGCCGCTCCTAAACCTGACAAAAAGGATGGGTAAGTCTTTTTTCTGGTTGTTTTTTTGTTTTTTTTTTTTATTCATCTGAACGTTTAGAAATGGGCCAGGGCCAGTTCACACTACAAAAATACACTCCAAATGCTTTCCGGTTTTGGTTTACAATACACCCCACACTCCTTTCCAGTACGTTTTTAATGTGTTTTGCTGTGTTCCAGTGCATTTCTGTGCAGAAAAAACATGCAGCGTGTCGTACTTTTTTTTTTCTGCACTGGAACTGACTACACTGGTGTGAACTAGGGCTATTAGAATACACTGTGCATGCATTTTTGATGCAGAAAAAAACTCATTTGACTGCATCTGATGTGAACCAGCCCTCAGGCACTTACCTGGTAGAGGTGAAAATACTGATCAAGGACAGCTGCCACACACTAATCCTGCTGGGAGCCAGTGGTACGGGGTGGTGTGATGCACATTAACCATTTGCCCCCCCCAACCAACCAATTTTTTTGCAATACGGCGCTGCATTACTTTGACAATTGCGCATTCATGCAACGCTGGACATAAATGAAATGTATATCCTTGTTTTCCTAAAAATAGCTTTATTTTGGTGGTATTTGATCATCTCTGCGTTTTTACTTTTTGCACTATAAACAAAAAAAGACTGACCATTTTGAGAGAAATAAAACAATTTTTGACTTTTTATTAAACATGTCCAATTAAAAATCACATTTCATCATAAATTTAGGCGCAAAAGTATTCTGCATTCTAAAAAAAAATTGTAAAAAAATCCCTATATGCGTAAATTATTTGGGTTACGTGAAAGTTATACCGTCTACAAATGGCAGTGTTTATACTGTAATTTAAAAAAATAATAATTTATATTTGTAATGGCGGCGATCAGCAACTGCAGCAGGCATTCTGACACTGGGTGGGAACTGTCTAACTGCCACTGACATCCCCAGTGACACTAATACACTGACACTACTACTGACACTCGGCAGGAAGTGGTTAACGTTTGGGCGATCAAAGGGTTAACTGTGTGTTGTGTTTTACTAGGGAGGCATTCTGTTTTGTATCTCTCTGCTGTGCATGCCTGTCCAATGTGCTGCAATAAAATTCTGCATGTTTGCATTTTATCACAGTTGGCTGCACTGCACCTCCAGCATGCATTGCCACGTGAATAGGACACATAGAAAACAAGAGTTTTTTGTACATTCTAGCATGACTAGCATTTTTCCAGTGCAGAAAACCACCGGTCACCTCCATATGTGAAATAGCCCTCAGGCTAAATTCACACTAGGGGTAAGAATCTATGGACTTTGGAGTGATAGGAGTGTGTGAATAGATCATACAAGACATTGGTAGGGTGACGGTGGCTGCAGCTATTTACTTGTGGTAATTGTGGTTTGACCCACACAAAATGTGTCCAGCCATGAGACACAATTTAGTGGACATGTGCTAGTTTATCTAAAACATATTTAATGAAAGTGCTGAAATTCTGTTGCTTTACTTTCCTGCAATCCTACTGGTAACAACACTACGACCAGGAGGAGGGTCAACACTCTGAGTTAATTGCACATTTGCTGCATTGCACAGGGTTCTCAGTCTTCTACTTGGAACATGCTAACTGGAGGGGGAAAACAGATATGACCTGGCCAGTGGCATGGTGCAGTAAGCTGGGTACTGGCCACATCACTGGGTAAAAATAAAAGGAAAAAATGCCTGGAAAATGAATGTAGCCACTAGATCAAAATATTGGAAACCTGCAAAATATTATGTTTTGCGTTCATGATTTTAGATAAAATTTAAGAAAATCCTTGAGCACCAGGCCACTGGCTTGTCAGTCTGCTGCAGGCAGAGGAAAGCATTTTCTCAATCTCTAGGCTTCTTCTGTCCGCCCTGTGTTAAACAAACACAGTAAAGTAGCTCATGGTGCTTTTGTCACATTCCTGTTTCCACTTTTTTTGTTTTTCTTCTTTTTGCATGCATTTTACCACACTTGCGTGTCTTTGCATGTAGCAAAATGCATGTCTGCTTTCTGTATGTTTTTGGTGTCGTTAACAGTAAATGGCACTGAAAGCGCTACAGACATTTTCTGGGAATGTGCAGGTGTGAGTGGAGCTCCAGGGCAAACTTTTTTTTTTTTTTTCTTTTTTTTTTTCCCCCACGAATAGAGCTTTCTTTCGGTGGTACTTGATTGCCTGTGGCTTTTTTTTTTTGTTTTTTTTTTGTGCTTTAAAAAAAAAAAAAAAAGACCTACAAGTTTAATAGCAAAAAATCAAAAAAAAAAATTTTTCTCAAACATGTCCAGTAAAAAATCAAATTTCATCATAAATTTAGGCCAAATTGTATTTTGCTACATAAAATCCCAATACGTGTTAATTGGTTTACGTGAAAGTTATAGCATTTACAAATGGCGGTATATATACTGGGATTTTTACTAGTAATGGTGGCGATCGGCGACTTATAGCCGTACTGCGGCAGACATTCTGACACTGGGGGGAACTGACTTGGTGTCACTGGCATCCCCAGTGACACCAATGCAGTGATCAGTGCTAATAAAAAGCACTGACTCTGTACTAATAGCACTGGGCAAGAAGGGGTTAACTGTGTGCCGTTTTACGAAGTGTGCTGTGTTAGTCTTGCAAAGCAGTGTGCAAGAGCTGACAGGTGCTCACGTACCCACTGCCTGGAAATGCAGAATCCTGTATATATACACGTGATTTGCGCACAACTGCCACCCTGTAACAATATTTCTGCAACCTTTCATTACAACCTTAGCTGTCAGCAATAAAGAAGAAAATAAGCCTCCTTGCTTAACACCTTCCCGCCCGGCCTAGAGCAGATTGATGGCTGGGGCGAGACGTTCCTCGTTGTGACTGGGTGTCATATGACGTCCTGTCAAAACGAGCCGCGCAGCCTGTCACCGGCTGTGTCCACAAGACACATCCGATTACATATCACTACACTGACCCGTTACCAGTGTCATATGACCGCTGTGACCGCAGCAGATCACGTCAATTATATACAATGGATGGCTTTCTGTCATGCCATCCATTGTATACAATTATGTTGTTACCTGTTGTTAAATTGTAATAAATTGTAACAATTACTACTGCCAAAAAACTCACCCTTACTAAAAACCTTGAACTGTGCATTTTCCAAAAATGGGTGATTTGGGGGGTATTTGTACTATCCTGGTGTTTTCAGGCCTCAAAAAATGAAATTGGCCGCAGTACATTAGGATTGATTGTCAGATACCTTGGTTTGTGGACTCGATAACGTTCCTACAGACTAAATAATATACACTAATTTGTGGTATTTTCACCAAAGAAATGTAGCAGAATACATTTCGACTTAAATTTGAGGAAATGTTATTTGCAAAATTTTTTAACAGAAACAAAGAAAAATGCGTTTTTTGTTTTGTTTTTTGTTTTTTCAAAAGTTTTTTGTTTAAGCAAAAAATAAAAAAAGTGAGTGGTGATTAACTACTTCCCGTCCGGCCCATGTATATAAACTGCCGGACGAGAGCAGTGCAGGAGCAGGTGGCAGTCTATAAACGTTCCTCCCCGCTTCCCTGTCTGTGCGTGCTCAATGGGAGGACACAACGGAACACCGATCGCTGTACGGGACTTCTGTCTGAGGTCCTGATCATGTGATCACTGATTGGCCAATCAGTGATCACATGAATAGTAGTAAGCAAGATGTCACTTTGTCACGATATAAGGTCAGGTTCAGAGACCAGTTGCTACAGCAGTTGTAAGGCTTACCTGAAACCAGCAGGATTGGTACACCAGCGGCCCACCCTGGGAATGATGCAGGCTCACCTGAGGTGCGGGGTCTAAGCATCCACCGGTCTTCCCCAGAGCTCCTAATGGCGGAAATGGATTTGGCTGCGTGTGAATGCCAGGTCGCAGATCTCAGGATCACCCCACCAGGGAATGAGTAGGCTGGAAACCAAAAGCGGATCAAACAGTTCATGGATCAAACGGAAGCGGAGTCAGTCACAAGCCAAGGGTCGGTCACCAATGGTAGTAGATAGGATGAGGCAGAATCATAGTCAGTAGCAAGCCAAAGGTCGGTAACGTAGATGAAGACAGCAGCAGGAACAGTAAGCGGGATATTGGCTGGTAAGGCACAATAATCTGGCAAGGAGGAAGTGCAGAGACATGGCATTTATAAGGAAGTTCATGGGAGGAGCAAGGAATTCAAGGTTCAAGAGCAATCAAGGCACAAGGCAGGATTATCCAAGAATTGTCAAGGGAGCTGTCCAGCATTCCAGATAGCTCAGTGAGAAGAGACATTGCCTCCCACTGAAGAAGGACCAGGTTCGATCCCAGGCTCTGACACACTTGCTGCACAGCCATTCACTGGGAAAACCAGTGTACTGCTGTTTCTCCTTCTCTAGCTCTCTGAACTCCTTATGTAGCTGAGAACAGAGAGTATGAGAACTAAAAGGTATTTATAATATTTTTTTATATGTATATACAAATGTTTTGCCTTTCATTTCTGTTGTAAACGGAATGAGTCGTTTAACCACTTCCCGTTCGGCCCACGTATATAAACGGCTGGACGGGAGCAGTGCAGGGGCGGGTGGCCGTTTAAAAAAAGCCTCCCTGCCCCCTGCTTGTGCGCGCTCCCTGGGAGCACGCAGCACCGCGATCCAGTGCCCACTGTGTCCTCCGGACACAGTGGAACACCGATCGTTGAGAGGTCCCGATCATGTAATCACTGATTGGCCGATCAGTGATCGCATGAGGAGTAGTAAACAAGATGTCACTTCTGACATCATTGCTTACTACTTGTGAAATCTGTAAATGATCACAGAGGTCACATGGTATAAGGCTATTCATAACAGCCTTGTACCATGTGACAAGCTGTGACCAATCACAGCTCACACAGTAGTTCTCAATGGCTGCAAGAATGCAGCCAGAGAGAAGGAGAAATGATTGCTTTTACAGCCTTTATGGGTATAAAAGCAATCAGTGTAAAAAAAAAAAAAAAAAAAAAAAAAAATCATCACCCCCCCAAGTAGTACAGTGTCACTATGGTGACCCTGTACTGCTAGGGTGACAGTATGTAAAAAAAAATAAATATAAACAAAACTGTCAAATTTTTTTTGGAAAATTATAATTTCTGGTTAGAAACTAATTTGGGGTTATTTATTTTACTAAAAAGATAGCTGAATACATTTTGGCCCCATTTTATGAAGAAAGATATAGATTTATTTGCAAAATTTTATAAGAAAAAACACTTTTTTTTTCCAAAATGTTTGGACTTTTTCATTTATAAAGCAAAAAAATTTAAATCCCAGAGGTGAATAAATACCACCAAAATAAAGTTTAATGTCTCAAAAAAATTCTAAAAAATTCATATGGGTACAGTGTTGCATGACTGTGCAATTGTCATTCAAAGTGTGATATCGCTGAAAATTTGGCCTGGACAGGAAGGTGGTAAAAGTGTCCACACTTGGTTAAATACCACCAAAAAAGCATTGTGTGAAAAAAATTATAAAAATTTCATATGGGTACAGTGTTGCATGACTGCCGAATTGTCATTCAAAGTGTGACAGCACTGAAATTTGGCCTGGGTAGGAAGGGGGTAAAAATGGCTGGTATTGAAGTGGTTAAAGAATTGTATAAGGTCACCAGGTGTGGGGCTATTGTGTCCGTCAGCTTCTTATAAATACAAAAATTAGGGGGAAAAAAAGAAACCTAAGTGCTGGAACATAGTCATCGTGAATACCAGATTATCACAGTAAGCACAAATGAAGCCCAACCGATACGCAAGCATGCACATAACTCTTAAGACCTGTATCTCAATAGCAGGCAGTACAAGTCAGCATGCGCAATGTCCCAAAGCTCCAGACTCTCCAAAGGGCAACCCCTCTGTTTATAGGTCAATTATTCCCTCTTCAAGTGTTGAATTAATTAGAATCCCTCCGTTGCGGAGTTGCGTTGCGACAAAAAAACAACTCTGTAAAATTAATTTCACAGTAGTAGTACTGCCTGGACCTTGAAGGTGACATACCTCGAAAGCTTGTCCACAAAATTATATGTTAGTGAAAATAAAGTATCACGTCAGTAATTTTCTGCCACGGCATTTGTTCACATTTTAGTATAAAATCTGCTGGGAGAACATCTTCTGGGTTAAAGATTAGGATAGCAAGTTGAGGATCTAAAGATGTTTTCTGTGCATGAATACGAGGTCAGTGCAAGAATTCAAATTGTGTAGATGCAATTAATGAGTAAAGTCCTTGGCTAGAAGGTAAAGTTCTCTCCAGAGGTCTACAAAATCATGAGCAGCCAAAGAATGCATTTATTAGAAGGATTAGACGAATCTGGAGGATATTTGGCTAAATTACCATTCAAAACTAAATTGGTCATCAGCTAATACACATATAGTGTGGCTTTGGGGGGTACTTGGAAGGCAGGAGGGCTGACGGGACCCCAGAAGAGAAGGATCGGGGCTGCTCTGTACAAAGCCATTGCACAGATCAGGTAAGAACATTATAATTTTAAAAAATAATTTACAATCTCTTTAATAGAGAAGTATGAGCTTTAGAAAAAAGAAACAAAAAAAACTCACTCTCCTAGGTGGATGCAGCATAAGTACAATGCTGCATCTGTCCCCTGCTGCACAGAGAACTGAATGATTATACGCTGCGATTGCTCAGATCTCCACTCTGAGCAGGGAGTGCTGACTGTCGATCACTGGCTATCTGCTTTGCCCCTCCAGTGCTCATTGGGCTGTGGAGGGGGCAGGAGTGGCTGGCTCAGGCTCTCGGTGGCTTGCTGAGCCAGCTGCCGGTCAAGACTTCTCGAGCCTGGACCAGCTCTGTGACACCAGCCTACTGTCAGCTGCAGACTGGTCAAAGGAGTGCAGAACTTACTGTACTCCTGTGATCCATTCAAGTACAGTCAAAAAAGCTTTTGCTATAATTCTCTTTTAATGAAGTGAAACTTGGCGTATTTTGCAACTGTAGAAAATAATAGATTGGAGAATTAATGGGGAAGCAATTTCTGAACAATTGCTACATGTCTTTACATATATGCGTTAATGGACATTGAACATTATGCTAAAATATTAAAATGTTGAAATCTGCTGCAAAATATATTTATAGTACAATGTTATCAATTGTTATTACTGACTTTTGCAGAGTTTCATTCTGTGCTGAACATGCAAGAAGAAATGCACTGGCTCTTCAGGCTCAAATGAAAAAGTCAAACACAGGGCCAACCAGTGAATCTTTGTTGTACCAGTTGAGTTCATATTCACGTGGTGACCTGGGCACCCAAAACCAGGAAAGCAGCCGAAGCGAGTCAAGCCGGATACTTGGTATGTTACCAACTCTTGTAACCTTTTTCAGAAAGGGGTATAGGCTACAATGTACTGTAACAGTAATTCAGGGTTGATGATATGGTAGTAATTTTCATGGGATAGGTTACAATCATACTTTGTCTATTATTGCTGATATACAGGTGAAACTCAAAAAATTTGAATATTGTGCAAAAGTTCATTTATTTCAGTTATGCAACTTAAAAGGTGAAACTAATATATGAGACTCATTACATGCAAAGCAAGAATAGTTCAAGCCGTAATTTGTCATAATTGTGATGATTATGGCTTACAGCTCATGAAAACCCCAAATCCACAATCTCAGAAAATTAGAATATTACATGCAATCAATAAAACAAGGATCGTACATAGAACAATATCGGACCTCTGAAAAATATAAGCATGCATATGTACTCAGTACTTGGTTTGGGCCCCTTTTGCAGCAATTACTGCCTCAATGCGGGCCTGGCATGGAAGCTATCAGCCTGTGGCACTGCTGAGGTGTTATGGAAGACCAGGATGCTTCAATAGCGGCCTTCAGCTCTTCTGCATTGTTCGGTCTCATGTCGCTCATCTTTCTCTTGGCAATGCCCCATAGATTCTCTATGGGGTTCAGGTTAGGCGAGTTTGCTGGCCAATCAAGCACAGTAATCCCATGGTCATTGAACCAGGTTTTGGTGCTTTTGGCAGTTTGGGCAGCTGCCAAGTCCTGCTGGAAAATGAAGTCCGCATCTTCCTTGAAGGATGCACATTAGAAATGGATTTTAAAGGCTAAGTTCATCTTTTGGAGCAGGTTACACGGTACACCCATATTTAGGGTGAAGTAATAATTCTGCTCCAGTTCCTGTCCCCTGTGAGTGCAATGCTCCGCATGCTTCTCTGGGGGGGGGGGAAAAAAAGTAAGTAATGCACATTATTCCTGCAATTTTTTTATTTTTTTTTTCCCTTTTTTTACAGGAAGTTGAACTTGGCCGTTAAATCTGTTAAAGTAGTGTATGAAGCTACACATTAACTATTGTATGTTTAATAAAATTCTAAAGCTCTCATGTGTAATGCCATCAAATGTTGGAATGTTGCAGCCCTACAAATAGGCTGCTGCCTTGGGGAAGTGCATTTTGTCTTGTTCTTTACTATGAAGATTTTTCTTTTTGAGCTTTTTAAAACAGGGTGCCTCAGTAAAATGACATATAGTCCTTTACAGTCAGATCATGAAATGGTTACTCTGTTAACACCTTGCCAAAACTGAAAGCTATGCAACCCGCACACCTGCATCCTGCCAGCTGATGACCTCATCAGTTCAAAGGTCAGGTTGGGCGGCTTGCACAGCTTTTAAGTTTTGCTAGCAAGAGTACAGATAACAGCGTAGAGTAGGAGAGATCCAGGAGGGGGTGTGCTCTCTCCCTCCTCTCTGTACATAGACCTTAACAGAGTATCATTTTCAAGATCTGACTGTAAATCGCTTGATTATCTCCTTTCCAGACTGCTCATGGGTGGGAGCAGTAATCTAACTCTGCACAAATTCCCCCCATGGGGATGAGGGGGGATTTACAACGTACAGACTGTTTAGCTCTGTTTTACAAAACTACATTTTAAGGCTTTTTCACAGTTGGAGAATGTGTATGAAATCAAGCGGTTTCCCGCACCACACTAAAATGTGCTGAATTTAGCAGAAGCATGATGGGTGGCACCCCCTACACATCCACCAATTGCATGTACATTTGAGTCAACGAAAAAAGCATGGTACCGCAGTCTATGCATTTTGATGAGGAACAATTTAAAAATCATGCCAGCACCTATTTTTGTATGTTTCTTGAGCATAGAGCAGCTTTTTAAAAATACGCAACAAGTGAGAACACGCAAAAAAACACATTTACACCTCCTTGTGTGAATGAGCTCTGAGACTGGTGTGCCTTAGGATTGTGCTAATTTCTAAAGGGTGCATTGACTGAAAAGGTTGCACACTTTTTTTTTTTGTAAAGGACTAGATGGTACATCCAATATTGCTACCATCGTAATGGCAACTGCCTTTTACTGTGTTTTACAAGTAGTACAGTTTTTATCTATTGTGTTGGTTTATTGATTGTAGTTGCAATTGAAGTCTTATATTGGGTATAACTTTATTATCATAAAGTAGACGAGGACAGCTGCAGTGATAGCGATCATGACACGGTCACTGTGGATCAGACATGGATGGGAGACCTTGACAGTGAAGCTGACAGCCTGGACAGTGATCAGGAGGACCCACTGAAGTAAGCAGCATAGCTTCTTTAATTGTTCATTACTAATGTTATGGTTTTCAATTTGCTTAACATTTGTTATGTTACGTGAATATTCTTTACCAAGCCTGTGTAGTTATCCGTATATTTTGACAAACAAAAATTGTTCTTGGCAACACATTTCTACACCCCATTTTACTCACAGAATGACTAGATGTTGCTGTCCCTCAAGATCTAGCAACTGTGTGCTCATTCACGATTGTGTTTAGCCACTGAGTGATTTGTAACACATTGTGCCGTTTGTCATTGCCTTAAGATGTAGAGTGCCTTGTAAAGAGTGTTATGTTCATAAGTGTAAACGATATATCCACTTTTGGTAATAATTTCAGATGTAAACCGTGTATCCACAGGAGCTGTCCCCTGGTTCTTGACCATTGGTGTCAGGTGACAGCTAGGCTGGCAGCAATGTCAGGCCTACCCTTACACTGGACTCCCTTGTGTTAGGCAGCAGGATAGTTTTTCCAACCAAAAACATGTTATTTCCTTCCTTTTCTGTGCATCCGATTACGCCAGACAGGAAATGGTATTCTGAAGGGACTGGCTCCGTGACATCAGCTAATAGCGGACTTTAGCCTGCTGTCGGCTGATAACAGGTCACAGGAGTGCAGAATTAACTGCACTACTGTGACCTACAGGAGGTAAAAGATCTTTTGCTATAGGTCTCCTTTTAGGAATACTCTCAGAAATAGATGTTTTTTTTTTATCAATTAACAAAATGAAAACCAAAATGAGCAGAAGAGAAATCCAAATCAGTATTTTGGGTGACCACCCTTTGTCTTCAATCCGCATCAAATCTAGGTACACTTGCACAGCATTTTTGAAGGAGGGTAGATTGGCAGGTAGGTGGAGAGCTAACCAAAGACCATCTTTTGGATGTAGACTCTCTTCATGTAATCCCAGACGGACCTGATGTTAAGATCAGGGCTCTGTGGAAGCCAAACCATCACTTCCAGGACTCCTTGGTGTTCTTTACTCTGAAGATAGTTTTTAATGACATTGACTGACTGACTATGTTTGGCCCCAAATTTATTCTGCAGCATGACAACGGGCCCCCAGTCACACACCTCCCTGATGGTACGGCATAATGGGAAAAGTATCTGCCTGTATTTCTCAATATTGAGGACACCAATGATCCTGACCAAATCTCCAACTCCATTTGCCGAAATGCAGCCCCAAGCTTGCAAGGAACCTCCACCATACTTCACTGTTGGCTTCAGACACTCATTATTGAACCATTCTCCAGAGATGGATAGAGAGAGAGCACGCTACCTTTCTGAAACATGTTGATTCACACAGCTGGGAAGCTTTTTACAGTAGTGTACAGGTGGGTTCTCATACTGAGCTGATATTTTGCTTACCACGAGTGTGTTCCAGCTTCACATCAGACCCACTTATTCTCTATCCAGCTTGTCACTACAGCTTCATCTAGGCAATTGAGCTATGATGAGATTATCTTAGAGCAGGGGTGGGCAACTGTGGCCCTCCAGCTGTTGGTGAACTACAAGTCCCATCATGCCTCTGCCTTTGGGAGACATGCTTGTAACTCAGTTTTGCAATGCCTCATGGGACTTGTAGTTCTACAACAGCTGGAGGGCCACAGTTGCCCACCGCTGTCTTAGAGGATTAATTTCAGGGATAAGAGTGAAGGCAGATTGGAACACTTAACTGATTACACACTGCAGGCACTGGGTACACTTCTGCAGTCATAAGCACTTAACCAATAGTGGATACATTGTTCACACATATGAGCAAACGACTATGGTGAACACAGGATTCTCCTTCATGTTTTGTCTTGCTATATTGGATATTTTATGATGATTAGATTTGTAAGCTGTAACGAGCAGGGGCCTCCTAATCCTCTTGTGTTGAACTGTATTGTAACTGCACAGTCTCCTTTTTATATTGTAAGAGAAAAGAAGGGAAAGGCACCTCTAAGTGTGAACTGGAAACTGTTTATTGCATCTCTTACTTGTACCTCTCTGGACTAAGCTTCCATCCAGTGAAAGGCAGCTATAAGTGAACAGGATTCTGCCCATCCTGCTGGTTCAAGACATGCTATTGGCTGTTTGTCAGGATACCCTACACCTCTTTTATACTCTAATTGGGTCCAGGTTTACATGGTGTTATATGCATTGTTATTTATACATTGATGTTTTCTTGCATTTTGTCCATGTTTATGTGCCTTCATCATATTTGTGCCTTCATCAGATTTGTGCCTATCTCTGTTGTTATCCTTTTATATTGTAAAGTGCTGTGTAAACTGTTGGTGCTAGATAAATGCTATGAGTCTGATATAATAGGGGTATTGGCCTTGGAGATTGTTGCAACTACCATTTTTCTATAGAATACTGGAGTTTATACTCTCAAGCTGCACAGCATACCTTAATACATACCGGAGGAAAGAGATTAAGGTGAATGGGATATCACAGCCCCAACAAAATGTATCCAGGGTTCAGGTTATGGCGTGATACAGCGGCCAAGTAGCTCTACACCCTTATAGGCCAAGTGGTGGGGGGAGCTTGGCAGATGGTGAAACCACCTATTATAATCCCCCTTTTTTTGAAGTCCGTTTTAATGTAGGCGTACATTTTATATTGGTTGTTTCTAGGCTGCATTGAAATGCATATATAAAAAAATGCTTTCTATGAAGATTGAAATTTTACCTGTACCTGGCTCAGTAGAGAATTACTTCTAAATAAGTATTAGTGGAGTATTAATGTTTTTTTAATCACTTGATTTAGGCATGCTGGAGTGTACACAGCAGAGGAAGTCACTCTCATAATGCGTGAAAAGCTCATCCGTTTGCAGTCTCTCTATATTGACCAGTTCAAGCGACTACAACACTTACTAAAGGAAAAGAAAAGGAATTACTTGCACAGTGTTAAAGCTGAACATGAAAGTTTTGGCAAGTATACGTTACTATCTTAAACACAGCTGTACTGAAAAAAATATAGGCGTTCAATTTGCCACATTAATTATATGCTGTATATTAAAGCAGTGGAAGGCTGCATTTAGTCTAGATTTTCTTTTAGAACACATGAATGAAACTGCATTCCAATTTCAAGGTCTTAATTTTAAGCATGTCTTCTGGTACCTAGCCATGCCCATACTTTTACTAGATAAATACACTTGTCACTTTATTAGGTGCAGCTTGCTACCTGGTGTTTGTTTTTTGCTGATGTACCCCATCTTCAAGGTTCGATGTGTTGTGCATTCAGAAATGGTATTCTGCATTCCTTAGTTGTAACGAGTGGTTATTTGAGTTATTTTTGCTTTTCTATCATTTCCAACCAATCTGCTAATTTTCCTCCTGACCTCAACAAGGTATTTTCATTCACACTACTGGTGCTCCCTGGTTATTTTCTCTTTTTAGGACCGTTCTTTGTAAACCCTAGAGATGGTTGTGTGTGAAAATCCCAGTAGATCAGCAGTTTTTGAATTATTCAGACCAGTCTGTCTGGCACAAACAACCATGCCACGTTCAAAATCCCTTGAATCCCCTTTCTTCCCCGATCTAATGCTCGGTTTGAACTTCATCAATTCATGTTCACCACGTCTAGATGTTTAAATGCATTTAGTTGCTGCCATGTGGTTAGCTGATTAGCAATTTGTGTTACATAGTCCGGCTGAAAAAAGACAAGTCCATCCAGTTCACCCAAGTTATTTGGTGAGAAAAGGTAGCGCTCAGGGAGTCAAGACTCGGGGAGAAAACAACTAAAACTAAATGACTCAAAAGCAAGCATATAATAAACTTTAGTCCATAGTCCTTATAGATAATGTGTCCGTCTGACTATGTCCCACATTGGCTCAGAGTAATGTAGCAGCCAGCTGTCCGAGTAGAAGCTCCTCTGCGGTAAGCAAAAAAAGTGGGGAAAAAAAACAGTGCTTTCTGAGTGTAGTATGAAGGAAAGGGGCAATTTATTCACACATAAAGAAACTCACAAAAGTAGCTGTAAAAACCGCATGTAGCCATCTTCTGAAGATGATCCTGTCTGGACCACTAGTTTGTTATTGTTATTATTATTATTATTGTTCCTGATTTTTATTCCTATCACTCCTTCCTTTATAATTCATCCTTTCTATATAAGATATTTATACATTTTGTTTTTATACTATGTATATACTGTATATGCTTATAGTCCATTATAATGTAGCAAGGTTTTAGATTATGCTGGGTGCTGTAGTCCGCCTTTATAAACATGGTATATAAACAGCCCACAAGAATCATGGCCGCATCACAGCCTAAGAAAGAAGCATGCATGCTCCGAATGCGCACCCGCCTTCTAGCCGCTTCTTGACTTTCAGTTCTGGTGACGTCCGTGTGGGGATCCCCTAACTTGTCCGAAACCTTGGTTACTACCAGCGTAACCATCCCGTAGGTCTGGGGAGACACCACTTTCAGCAGTCCAGACAGGGTCATCTTCAGAAGATTGCTACATGTGATATGCGGTTTTTACAGCTACTTTTTGTGAGTTGCTTTGTGTGTGAATAAACTGCCTCTTTCCTTCATGCTACATTCAGAAAGCACTGCTGTGTTTTCCCTTCTTTTTTGCTTACCACAGATGAGCTTCTACTTTGACAGCTGCGCTGCGGTTTTTCCCTTTTTTGCAATTTGTGTTACCAAGCAATTGAACAGGTGTATCTAATAAAAGAGGCTGGTGAGTGTAGAAGAAGTGTTTTTAAAATTTTGACCTTTTTGCTCTTCACATTGATTTGGGGGATAAAAAGGCAAATGCTTCAAATTAAATGTGCACTAAGCGGGCAGCTCTGGCCCTAACCTTATGTGGAAGGTTAGCAATCCGCTTAGAAAATGTATTTATTTTATTTATTACAGGTACTTGTATAGCGCCATCAATTTACACAGCGCTTTACATATATATTGTACATTCACATCAGTCCCTGACCTTCAAGGGTTTTACAATCTAAGGTCCCTATCTTACATTCATACATACACATACTAGGGCCAATTTAGACAGGATCCAATTAAACTACAAGCATGTCTTTGGAGTGTGGGAGGAAACCAGAGTACCCAAAGGAAACCCATGAAGACACGGGGAGAACATGCAAACTCCAGGCAGGTGGTGCTGTGTTTGGGATTCGAACCAATGACCCTAGTACTGCCAGGCGGAAATGCTAACCATTTAGCCACTGTGCTGCCCTCAATTAAAGAAGGAAAAATGGTATCTGCAGATGTTGTGGACTGCCTGTAGATGTATAATTATTTCTTGACTTGACTATAATCTGCTTGACCTGTCAACAATCGTGTCTGTGGGCATTTAATATATTCATAATCCTCTACATTTCAGTGTCCAACAAGATGCATCTTGCACCTCATTTATTCCATATTTACATTTATTTGTAGTTGATTATGGTGGTCATTATCTTGTCTCTCCCCTCATCTTAGGCAGTAGTCTTCTTACTGGACCAGAAGGTCTGTCTCCAAAAGAACGTGAGAACCTGAAGAAACTAAAAGCATTACGTAGATACAGGAAGCGATATGGTGTGGAAGCTCTTTTACATCGGCAGTTGAAAGAACGGCGTATGTTGGCTACAGAAGGTGTATCACAGCAGGTAGGTCTTTTTTTTATTACAGTGGAGTAATGGTTAGGACTTGACCTACATCTGACCCTAAGCAGGGCACTTTGTATAATGCATGTTTATTCTCATTGCATTGATCTAGGTTAAATTCAGGCACTCTTGTTTTTTTTCCCATAACCCAATTCTAGATGGTTAGTCCCTGCAGTATAGAGAGCTGAGGAATGTCTTTTGCAAACAATTTGTATATTTCTTTTGTGACATGTAGAATTTGTGCTTGTGTTATTTATCAGGGTCACACCACCAGATCCAGTCAACGTTGCCTGGCCTTTGTAGAGGATGTACGTTGTTCCAACCCAAGCTTACCTATGACTAGGCACTGCCTTTCACGTATCCTTTTTGGTTGAGTAAAATATTTTATAGCTGTCACATGAAGTATGTTCTGTTTTTTGATTTTTGCTTCAAGGATATACTTAAACTCCTATGTAATCACATTAAAATTGTATTCCAAAATTTGGCATTACTAAATAAAATTCATTAGTCTTTTGGATTGTCTAGCTATATCTTATCAAGCAATTGTACTTTAACCACTTGTGGACCATCCCACGCAGATAAACTGCTGCAGGGTAGCAGCTCTGCGCTACATTACGTATCTGATACGTGATCCAGCTCTTCTGGGTAGGAGGCATGTGCGCCTGCCTCCCCGACTGTGTTGTGATTCGTTAAACACAAGCAAATCAGCATGTTCCGGTTGATCGGTGGAGTGGATGTAGGGGTGTGAAAATTTTGGAAAAAACTACTTGTCCAGGGACTAAATCAGGACTTGTCCCCCATGACAATCTACTTGTCCAGATACAAAAAAAAAAATCAATCGTTTTAGCTAAAATCGTATTTAAAAAGGAGGTGATTTTAGGAATGTCTGGGGCTTTTAAAAACAAAAGAGGCTTTATGGCGACTTAAACGTGTAATATTTTTAACATTGTGATGTTTTATCTCCTCCTTCCCTCCCTGCCTGTCTCCAGCAACGCACTCTAGCAACAGGCTAGCATGGAGGGGAGAGGCCTTGCAGTGTGATGAACGATTGGCTGCTTGTCAGGAAAGGGTGGGTCAGGGCTTATACTTTATTCCTTTTCACTGCCAGAGACGTTTTTTGCTTCCAGAGCCGTTTTTTGCACACGTTTAAAAAACAATTTTAGGCCTGAAGATTAAATAAAACCCCCAAACATATTTTCTGAAAGCAGAGACCCTAGAGAGTAAAATAGTGCTAGTTCCAATTTTTTATGTCGCTTGATTTTACCGCAAAAGTTTAGTGAAAAATGCAAGCAAATTAATTTTAGAGCACAAAAAAGCAATACATTACTATATTTTTTTGGAAAAATATAAAAGATGAGGTTGCACCGAGTAAATAGATATCCAGCTTGTCAAACCTTAAATTTGTGCGCGGTCCTGAAATGGCGATAAACTTCAGTACCCTATATTTTCTATAGATCGACACTTTTTTAAAGCACCTTATAGGTCACCAGTTAAGTGTTACGAAGGAGGTCTGGTGCTATAATTATTGTTCTCATTGGGGGGGTGGTATGTACTTGTGTAACTCATTTTTTACAATTAAAAAAAACAAAAAAAAACACTTTTTTTTTTAATCACATAGGGGCCAAAGTCTACATTCTTTACCAGGGATTGCATTACAATCTCTCAACGGGTACCCGGAAGTAACATCATAGCGTCACTTCCGGGTCAGCGCAAGAAGGGGAGGAGAGCGGACTTGTCTGCTTTTCTCCCTCACCTCTAGCCGATGGCGAGCTGGGCCCGCAGATGGGCAAGCGGAGCCCGGGAAACCTCACGGGGAGGACGCAGAGAGGCTGGTACTGTGTGCAAGCAATTGGTGGCAGCACTGCCGCCGAATGCTTCCACCTGACAGGTGAGCCCACTGCTTGCCCACAGCAGGGCTAAAGGAAGAAAAAAAAATATACCTGTCCGGCATGTAGTTCCGGACGTCAAGCAATAGGAACCCAAGATCCCTGGGATGACACCTGAGAGCTCTGATTGTAAACGGAGCTCTGTACTGACAGCAGTAATTTGCCCTTTTTTTTTTTTTTTTTTTTTTTTTTTTTCCTTTTGTCCTTGCAAAGCAGGTAATAAAAACTGGCACATCCCTTAGTAAAATCAGCACACCGTAAACACTTTACACTTGTTATGCACACAGTTAACCCTTTGATTACTCCTAGATATTAACCCCTTCTCAGCCAGTGTCGTATATTAGCCTTAATCACTATTAGTTACTGGTGATGTCCTGTGTCAGTCTGTTTCGACAAAGTGTCCATTAGGATCGGAATGCCCGCCGTACTGTCAGTTCTGCTATTTCAACAATTGCCGCCATTACTAGTGTATAAAAGAAAAAAAAATTGTGTGTGTATATATTATAATTAAAAAGCTTAGATGCATTTTTGCCTTGAAGTCAATGGGATGTGATTTTAACATTGAAATCATTATTTGTAAATATTTTTATTGGATTTGTTTTGATTTTCAAAATTTTCGTTCTTTGTACCGATTGTTGTACGGGACCTCTGTGTGAGGTCCGATCATGTGATCAATGATTGGCCAATCAGTGATCACATGAAGAGTAGTAAGCAAGGATGTCACTTCTGACATCATTGCTTACAATGTGTAAAATCTGTGAATGATCAGAGGTCACATGGTGCAAGGCTATTCACAACAGCCTTGTAACATGTGACAAGCTGTGACCAATCACAGCTCACACAGTATTTCTCAATGACTGCAAGAATGCAGCCATTGAGAAGGAGAAATTATTGCTTTAACAGCCTTTATGGGTGTAAAAGCAAAAAAAAAATCTTCCTAACCCCCACAAGTAGTAAAGTGTCACTAAGGTGACAGTATGTAAAGAAAAAGAAAAAAAAAAAAAAAATATATATATATATAAAACATAAGATTTTGGGTTATTTTTTTCCATTAAAAAGATAACTGAATAAACTTTGGCCAAGATTTATGAAGAAAGATTATTTATTTGCAAAATTGTATAAGAAACTTTTTTTTTTTTTTTTTTTTCAAAACTTTTTGGACTTTTTTATTTATATAGCAAAAAAATACAAATCCCAGTGGTGAATAAATACCACCAAAATAAAGTTTTATCTGTCTAAAAAAAAAAAGTAAAAAAATTCATTTGGGTACAGTGTTGCATGACCGCGCAATTGTCATTCAAAGTGTGATGGTGCTGAAAATTAGCCTGGACAGGAAGTGGGTGAAAGTGTCCGGACTTGAAGTGGTTAACAAAGTACTGAGTAAAGGGTCTGAACACTTAAGCACGTGTGATATTTCAGTTTCTTCTTAAATTCTCAGACCTTTCTAAAATTCAGTTTTCATTGTCATTATGGGGTACTAACTTGTTTAAATTAATTTTTCTTATTAATCTACAACTGAAGTATCGGGCTGCAGCATAACAAAATTGAGAAAAGTGAAGGGATCTGAATACTTTATGAATGTGCTGTATATAGTGTGTTAGCATGATTGCAACAATGCACATTTAAACTATGTGTTGTGGAGTTGGCAAGCCCTAAAGCTGGCCAAAGATGGATAGGTCCATCCATAGTCGTTCGCACTTGACAGAAGTCAACCTATCAATTGACATATGTCAAATGGGAATGTTAGGAAATGTTTCTTGATCACTGGGGTGCAGCCACTGATTAGTAAGTATTCTGACAGCTGAGAGGCTTGCTGTCAGAATACAATTGGCACAGCTGGGGGGATTCCTCTATCCACCGTTTTGTGTGTGTGTGGTTGGAGGAATCCATTGGTTTTGAATATATGGCCAGTCTTAAGGAAACTCACACTAGGTCTTTTCTTGTTTATGTTGCTGATCATAAACTTGCTATATTTATACATTTTATCTTTCCTAAACTTGACACCTTTGTCCTTTAAAGGGAAGCTACAATCCTTTTAGTCCGGATTCAGACTAATGCAGTGTGGGAAACGCTGCAAATCTTGTGCGTTTCCTGTACCACATTGCAATTGCATGGCGTTTATGCGATCTGGTGCGGGTGTCAATGATAAATTAATGACACCAGGAAACAGATCGCATAACGTGATGTGATTGCCAGAAAACGCATTGCATGGGTGAGAACATAGTGGTGTGGATAAAAAAAAGGGTTCCTGCACCATTTTGGTGTGGATGTGATGCAATCGCACTACATAGACATTGCATTTAATTCGCACAGGAATGCTGTGCAATTCCTGTTTGAAATACATGCAGTATCCCGCACCACATTAGTGTGGACCCAGGCTTAATTCTACGTGTGTTTTTGTTTTTTTGTTTTTTCTTGTTTTGACCATGGCCCTGAATCAAGGCTGACAGCTTGTGGCTGTAAGTTTCAAACAGGAGCCTATAGAAATCCTTCCTTTGGTCTGTTAGCTGTGCTAATATACTTCAGGCCCAGCACATTCAGATGGAAGAAACAAAATTTTCGCTACATTACCCCCCTTTTTGCCGGTCGGGGCCTTAAATGGGCCTTAAGACCCAGAGCCAGTAGGCAGAGCTCTCAAACTTGTTACCCAAAGTTGTCTTCATCAACCTGCCTAACAGTTCTCATTTGTCAACAGATAACTGTTGGTGAAAGCTTGGTTACAGTATTGGGGGGCACTGATGAAGCACACCCCAGAACAAGACTTGTATATATGGGAGCTAAGCATTAAAGCAAAAATAAACTCACTGCCAAATTCCAGGGATGCGATGGTTATGTCCCTTGCCTGCCGCTGTCATCTCCCCAAGCTGCTGCTGGGTTTTCAGTCTCTTCATCAGCCAGCGAGGATGATGTAATCTCACACATGTACAGCACTTAGCATAAATGAGTACACCCCTTTTTGAAAAGGAATATTTTAATCAATATCTCAATGAACACTAGAACAATTTTCAAAAATTGACAAAACTGAGTTTTATAGAACATTTGTATATCTCATTACATGAAAGTAAAGTTAATAATATAACTTAGATTACAAAATCTTCAGTTTTACTCAGCTTGATGCAAAAGTGAATACACCCCACAACAAAAACTACTCAATCTAATATCTTGTATGACCTCCATGATTTGTAAGGACTGCACAAAGTCTAGGCATGGAATGAACAAGTTGGCGATAGATGTTGCAATATATCTCTTTCCGTTCTTTAAGAACAACCTCTTTTTAGAGCCTGGATGCTGGATGGAGAGTGATTCTCAACTTGTATCTTCAGAATTCCCCATAGGTGTTCGATTGGGTTCAGATCAGGAGACATACTTGGCCACTGAATCACTTTCACAGTGTTCTTCTTCAGAAATGCAACAGTGTCCTTAGATGTGTGTTTTGGATCATTGTCATGTTGCAAAAGTGCATGGCAACCAAGGGCACAGAGTGATGGTAGCATCTTCTCTTTCAATATAGAGCAGTACATCTGTGAATTCATGATACCATCAATGAAATCCAGCTCCCTGACACTCATGCAGCCCCACAGAAGGATACCGCCACCACCAAGTTTCACTATAGGCACCATGCATTTTTCTTTGTACTCTCCTTTTGCAACACCATATAGTTTTGAAGCAATCGTTCCAAAAACATTTATCTTGGTCTGATCACTCCAGAGTACAAAATCCCAGTAATCTTTTTATTTTTTCAGCATGGGCCCTGGCAAATTCTAAGCGGGCTTTAGGAGAGGCTTCCTTCGTGGATGACACCATGCATGCCATTCCACTGCAGGGTAAGCCATATTGTGTCACAAGAAACAATCACCCCAGTTTGGCTAATTCTTTAACTGCAGTGAACTTGTATGGCGATTTTCTTCAACTCTTATCAGAAGACGCTCCTGACGAAGTGCTAACTTCTGCGGATGGCCTGGATGGCTCTGTGAGATGGTAGCAGTTCCATCTTTGTTAAATTTTTGTATCACTTTTGCTACAGTATTCTGACTAAGTAAAGCTTTACTGATCATCTTGTAGTCCTCACCTTTCTTGTGTAAAGAAAATATTTTCCTTCTCGGGTCTTGTGATATTTCTCTTCCATGTGGTGCCTTTGCTGACCGCATGAAATGGGAAGGGGTTTTCTTTAAGTAATGCCCTTTTATAATCTGCTGTCTGCTGGACATCTGTTTAATGAATGATTAGACTCACCTGTAGTTGAAGTCTTGTTAAATAGGATTTTATTTTCTAAAATTTAGCTTTGCTCCTAAGACTTTAATTGTGGTGTATTCATTTTTGCAACATGGTCATGAATGAATTTGTTAGGAAAAATATTTTTGTGTGCAAATTAACAAATCTTTTTTGCTACCAATGGCGTGCATTTGTGGAGTATTTTGTGTCCCATAGAAAATGTTGATTCTGAAAGGAAAGAAAAGGTTTTCTGACAAATCTGTTTATGCTGAGCACTGTACATGGGAGTAAGTAATTCCACCACAGTTCGAGGGTGCCAAGAATGCATGCTGAGCTGCTCAGTATACATTCATTAGACTGTGAGCAGCAGGTAATAGTGTCTTATTGCAGAAGAGACATAGCATGTCTCTTCTGCAGTAAAGAGCTGCTTCTTTGCAATTTATTTAAATTGTAGGTTTAGTTCCGCTTTAAGGCCCTGCATATATGCTTAATGCTGTCATAAATGGGTTCAAGTGACTGTCGGCACATGATCAACTTGTATAGAAAAACATACTTGTTTAAAAAAAAAAAAGTGTGAATATACTCATTTTCCTAGTGATCCTTTTATTGAAATGCTGCTGCAAGTATTCCACACTCCCGGGTTTATTAATTACCTGCTCCACTTTACATGCTGTGGGTTCTCCTGCCAGATTGTGCGTTACTACTGGATGGCAGGAACTGCAATGTGCAGTAGAGGAAACAGGTAGTCGACCAATATGGACTTCAGTCAGGATCCTTCCAGAGCCTGGAAGTGGCTTCCAACACTGGGCTTCTGTCGACTGATTCTGGGTCACAGGAGTGTACAAGTAAGTGCACTCCTGTGACCTACAAGAAAAGTTTGGCCATACTACTTTTAACCATTATCTGCTCTATCCACAGAAATAGACTAACTTTGAATAAACCTTTTTTTAATGGTACTAGTCTATAGAAACTATTATCTACTTGCATATTTTCAAGAGCTGCTCATAACCCCCTACTGCCACTGACGTTTGTCGCAGTGGGGAGGTTTATGTGTAAAGTGGGGTGAGTGTGTAATGGCAATGGCCCCTATTTTATTCCCTAGGGTGTCTGCTTTCAAAAAATATATAATGTTTTGAGGTTTACGAAATCTTCAGGTCCAAAATGTTTTTTTTTAAAAAAAGTTCATAAACAGCTCTTGCAGTGAAAGGGTTCATCACAGCTTGCTGCTTGTTAGTGGTTTATTTTGAAACTCGCATTGTTGCAATAATGCACTGTTCGCATTGCTTTTGTTTGAATACATTTAGATAATTTATAGAAAGTAAGATGTTAGTTAGTTAAAAAAAAAAAGTACTACCTTTTTCTTATTTTGTTTAGTGTGGTTCTACTTCTTAGTCACATGCGTGTTTACAAAAGGACTGAATAGTCTGTTTCTAAGATTATGATAGAATAGAAGAAAAGGCTGGACTTCGAGACACTACGTACACTTGTATTTACGTTAACAACTTGCCCTCCAGAGGATTTACTCCCCCTTCCCTTTCCTGACCAGGCCATTTTTTTGTGTTACGGCGCTACATTATTTTATCTGACAATTGTGTGGCCATGCAACGCTGCACCCAGATTAAATTTACGCTTTTTCTTTTTTTTTTACCCCGCAAATTGAGCTTTCTTTTGGTGGTATTTGATCGCCTGTGCGGTTTTCTTTTGTTTTTTTTGTTCTGGTTTATTTTGTTTTTCTTGCACTATAAGCAAAAAAAGACCGACAATTTTGAGAATAAAAACAATATTTCGTTTTTTTTTTGCTATTAATATCCAGTTGAAAAATTTAAATCAAATTTAGTCATAAATTTAGGCTAAAATGTATTCTGCTAAAAAAAAAAAATCCCAATACTTGTAAATTAATTGGTTTACGTGAAAGTTTTAGCGTTTACAAATGGCGGTATAGATACTGGGATTTTTTTTTTTCCTACTAGTAATGGCGACGATCAGCTAAACTAACTTGGTATCATTGACATCCCCAGTGACACCAATACAGTGATCAGTGCTAAAAATAACGGCACTGACACTGTACTAATGACACTGGGTAGGAGGGGGTTAATGTTGAGGGGCAATCAAACGGTGTGTTTTACTAGGGGGCGCGGGGGGGGGGGGTGTGCTTCACTGAAAGCACACTGATCGGGATGGCTGCACTATGCACAGCCATCCTGAGCAGTGTGCCAGAGCTGACAGAGAGGAAGACTGTTTGTAAACAGTCTTCCTCTCCGTCAGTGATTGTTGGTAATCACCGGCCGGGACCCAATGATTGACATCTGCAGCCGCGACTGGCTCTTCGGGTAGGGCGCGTGCCCCCCTTCCCGGAAATGCAAAATCACGTGTGTGTGTATATATACGTTATTTTGTGCACTCATGTCGCTGTGTAGCAGTATATCTGCTATAACGGCAGTGGTTAAAATCGCATCATATTTTAATTCTACAAATCGGCTTTTGTGCTCTGCTTCGCATCACGGTAACTTAAAATGAGCAAATAAACACAGTCTGCTCCATACACTATACTCTCAATAGTATTGGATAGGCAGCCTTGCACGTTTCTTGGATGATTGCTGTCCACTTCTTCAGGAGAGCATAGGGTCAATACTATAGAAATTTAAAAACCGGTTAACTGAACTTCGTTTTCAGTACAATACATAATGCAAAAATATCTTTAGAAATGGCAGTGTATTGCAAATTACCTTTTGTCCTACCAGGTATAAGTAATTACTTTTAGATATATTAGAGAAAGTAAGCGTTTGATTGAAATTTGCCGTAGCAAACTATTATCTTTTATTCTGATCAGTGTGATTCTACTTCTGAGGCATCTGATGTCTTTACTAAAGGACTGAATAGTATCACGGTTTATTATTTCCATGACTGTATCATTTTCTAATGTTTCTTTTAATTTCTTTAACCTCATTCTGAGCAGATATCTGTCAGGACAGCAATCAGGTTCTTTTTAAGATGTGTGCAGGCTCTGAAGAATTTCCCTGTAACAAGCCACTTCCAGTTAGCCTGTCCGAAGAACCTTGTTGCCCCTTACACTATCGGTTACCTTCTCCAATGTACCAGTCTGAGCCAGTGTTGCCGGCTCCAGAGCAGATGGATGTGGCTCCCATGGAGCTTTATTTGAGTGCAGCTGAATTGCAGCCTACAGAAAACCTGCCCCTTGAATTTAGTGATGTGAGTCCTGTTTTGCAGTCTTCATTTTCTCATTCTGATAATGGATCCAGATCCTTATGATTCTTTCTCTTTCTGCTAGGACCTTGATGTAGTAGGTGATGGAATGCAATGTCCTCCATCTCCTCTGCTGTTTGACCCATCTGCAGACATAGCTTTGAAGGATATTTCAAGAACCTCACTTGACCTACTGGCTGATGATGCAGAACGGAACAGTACAAGTCACTCTTTACTGCCAGCAGAGTCTCTGGTGCGATCTATCGGACAGGTATATATTGTGTCCCATATATTAGAGGGCACGGTGTACATAAAGTGTACATTACCCACACAAATGTCACTGTACTGGCTGAATTAACATTGCCCTAAATCAAGGCTGGTTGCTTGCTGTAGCTTCTGGTTTCAAGCAGGTGCATAAAATAACTTCTTCCTGTGGTCTGTTGGCTGTGAAATAATTTTTTTGACCAAGCCATTTCAGTTGGAAGAAATATTTACATTTTAAGTGTATTGTTTGAATTAGAGCAATGTATAGTAAATTACTAGCATTTTTTTCCTGTTCTTCAGAGTCAAGTCCAGTCACCAGAAGAGTCCCATACGCAAATGACAGATCCAGATGGTGATGATGCAATAACGCCAACAATGTCCACAGCCAATGGGAATGCAGAAAGTGCCTCTTTCAGTTGAGTTTTGAATCCTGTTCTGTTGCCATCATCCAAGTTTAACAAATACATTTTCTCCCCATTACCATACGAAGAATAAATAGAACGCCATAGTTATGTTAGGTCCATAAGTGACAAAACTGTAGAGTATTATCGCATCTGAAATATATCTGGAAGCCATCACTTTCAGCCACTGTACCTTTGAATAATATTAACCACCTTTATAAATTAGAAAATAAAGTTGGTTGGTTCTTAAGGAAAAAAGTTTGTTCACTTTGAATTTTTTTCTTACATTTTATCTATGTTCACGATTTATTCAAATTTCTTCCACTATATGTTTTCAGAGCATACTGGACATTCTAAAAAAAAAAAAAAAGAGCCCTGTGTTTCCTCTGTCCTTGATACCAACATTTGTGGTAGAGTGGGGAGGAGGTTCTGTTATGCATTGTTGTTTCTTTACCCCTGCCGCCATTACATTTTTTTTTTACAAGCCATTTAGCTAAATACATTTTTTTCCAAAAACCTATGGGCTAAGCCATTATAATTTTAAAGTGGAACTGCACTACATCTGAGCACCACAAACCAATGTACCTGTAATAAATAAAAATGCTTTAATTCATTGTGATTATTCAAAGAAAATTCCCCTATCCATCCATGTCTCCATGCTTTATTTTTGCTAAGAAATTATTTTGAAAAAAGCCCCCTACCATATCTGGTAGTGGCCATCATGAGTAAGGACAGATGATTTATGTAGCATTTACTTCCTCAAATCCATCTGCCCTTAGTTCAGGCATTGCCTGAGCTGAGAACCCTCCTGAAGACTCGTGGAATGTATGAGATCATTTGCCTAGGCACGGAAATCAGGAAGTAACTGAAGAAAGGGAAAAAAAAGTTTAGAACATGCAAATGATACTTTCCTATCCATTTACTAATGCTAGCAACATAAGGATTAAAAAATAGTCCATATGGATTGAGAAAGTGAAGTCCATATAGCGAAGATGTGTTTGTTTACAGATATGCTGCTGATGGATCAACTAAAGGGGTGCAGGTTGAACTAAAAAAAAAATTAAAAAATCCTGACCGTTTCCTGCATCAACACAAGTGCTGATCGAAAGCTGGTTTTTCACCAAGACCATTTGATAGCTTGGCTTCTGTTGAACAGACAGCGTTTCACACATACTGAAAGTTCCTACCGAACTGGCTGACTTTTGGTATGTGTGCACTGGGCTTTAGTCACATGTTCTAACCATATACTTTGTGCCACAATTGGTGATTAGATTTAGACCCCACAACGGTTTTTATTTTTTTTTTTTTAATTGCCGGCAATTCTTTTACATTCAGCTGTCAGTGGGGAACCCCCGCTGACAGCTGAAAAATGAACACATGGTTGTTGCTACTGAAATACTGCATGACTTGATAAAATAACTCGTGCAGTATTTTAGTAGCATTTACTTTTTTTTTTCTGACCTCAGGAATGGATTAATTGGTTTTGGGAAATGGTGTTTCGGTTTACAAATTTTTTGCTATACGAAAAGTGCCGCAGAACGAATTAAATTTGTAAACCGAGATATACCTGTATTTAGTATAGTGAGTGTTTTGTTTTTTTTTGTTTTTTTTTTTGTTTCTCACAAGTTTTCAGATAATTAATTTTTTTGAAGTTAGTTTTTCAGAGAATGTAAAGTTTTTTTTTTTTTTGTACACAAATCTGTCATTTTTAACAAGTTATGTCTCACACACAGCATAGGCATACTTATAATTATACTCCAAAACACATTCTGCAATGCCTAGATGTGTAATTTTATGCTCATTGAAAAGTGCTTGGATTTTGAGCCCCTCTATGCATCTAATTTTCTGACTACTTATCAGTTTTGGAGGCCCTGGAGCACCATGAGAGTGGAAACACCTACAAAATGACCATATTTTGCAAATAGACAAAGGTTTTTTTTTTTTTTACTCTTCTTGCTTATTACAGTGATGACTGTAAAAGCAATTGTTTTAACTGTTGTGAATGGTTTTCCTTTCTTTTCCCCAATAAAGATTTTGAGCATCGAAAAACCTAGACAAAAGCATGGGTTGTATCGATACAACAGTTTGCTAGAAGCATCTAGTTTTCTAATGAGAATAAGAATATATGTGAGAGATAACAGTAAGTGGTCTTGCCATGCAAGAACACTTAAGTCAGACAGAAAAAAAAAAAAAACTTGGCATGGAAGTTGAACACAGAAGAATGAGGGGGCAGATCCCAAACAACAACTTGGAGAACTAAGAGGAGGATGTGAATCTAGGACAAAAAAAATAAACAGGTTTTGAGTAACTATGGTCATAAGAACCTATTGTCAATATCGTGCGTATATTCATGATAGACCAGAATATAGAATCATTGACATTAGAGAACATTTTTGAGAACGGTGGATGTGGAGAAATTACACTGAAGTACGTTAATTGATAATGTGATTCTAGGTCAGGTATGAAAATGTTCAGTGTGGCATGCCGGAAGCACCGATCCAGCGAAAGCAGGGAAAAGAGAGGGAAAAAAAAAGGGAGGGAAGAGTGTGTGTGTGTGGGGGGGGGGGGGGGGGGGGGGGAGAGGAAGGAGAGATGAGTGCTACGAAACCTAACTTAAGTTATCGAGGAAGGATGACAGAGGGGGGTAGCATGTGTCTCTCACCCTCTCCGCCGGACACCGAAGCATCACAACCCCCTTCCCCCCCACACACCATAGAAGGCCGTCAGGGGAAGGTGTGCAACCAGATAGAATCCCAAAGTTCAATCCATTCCTCAGAGAATAGTAGCCTGAAGAGAACCACGTATATATGGGTGGGCTTATAGGTGGGCTGTAATGTCTTTATTGGGGCAAAGGTTTGACAATAGAGCGAACTCTTTGGTTGTCTGGAAATGTGTCCAACAAGCCCATTTAGAAACAAGTTTGGCAGGAGAGTCTCGAACAATAAAAATGAGTTCTTCCATTTCCGCTATTTTACGTATGTGGATAAGCTATTCTCTAGTCTGAGGTTGTGGGGACCCTTAGTGAACTGGAAGACATTGTTTAGCTGCATTAACCATGGGCATGGCTAGAGACTTAAAATAGGTTGACTGGAGGAGAGAGGAATGGTGCAGTAAGAACTGAGCGGGCGTAAAATCTAACGTGTAGTTAGTTACGCGTTGAATAATTTGGTGTATTTCAGTAGTGTTTAATTCTAGGACATGTCCACCAGATATGTAGAAGGGTTCCCTCTTTCTCACATCTCCAACAAGTGTCTGGAGTATCTGGGTTAAATTTATGGAGAAGAGCAGGGGTGCGATACCAGCGGGATTGAATTTTGTAACAATTTTCTTGGGTGGATATATTTACCGAGCCTTTGAGTGTGTTCAGATGAATGCGTTCCCAGTCATCTTGAGTGAAAGAAATCAAGAGGTCTCTTTCCCATGCCGCGCAAGCTGTGTCACTGTTAGAAGGGTGGTCGGAGCTCAGTTGAGAGTGGATAGTGGAGATTAGATGACTTTGAGGCGATTGTTTAGAGCGCAATTTCTCAAATGGAGTCAGAAGTCTAGACACATCTTGGTTTTTATCAAGTGAGTGTAGGTAATGTTGTACAAGCAGGTATGGCCATGGTGGTATAGGGTTTGTTCCTAGGTTGGAGGTTAGCTGTTCTCTGGAAAGCATTGTGTTTCTGTTAAAGAATTGGGCTATCACCTTTTTAAAATCTTTTCCTTGAGGAATCGCGGGTGTAAGCCTGGTGGAAAATCGGGGTTTTGACGTAGAGGGGTAAGAGGCCCTGGGACTGATGAAATCAATTTGGAACTTTTGCAAATAGTACTAAAGATGCAAAGGGTTGGGTAAATTAAACGGTGGGTCTTTGCTTCTTGAGAGGTATGGTGAACGTGCAACCAAGGTGTAGAAGCAAGAGGTGTGGATAAGAAAGAGGCCTCGAGAGAGACCCAGTCTTTAACCACTTGAGCTCCAGAGGATTTACCCCCCTTAATGACCAGGCCTCTTTTTGCTACTTGGCGCTGCACTTATTCAACTGATAATTGCGCGGTCATGCAATGCTGCACCCAAACAAAATTTACGTCCTTTTTTTCACACAAATAGAGCTTTCTTTCGGTGGTATTTGATCACCTGTGCGCTTTTTATTTTTCACGCTATAAACAAAAAAAGGCCAAAAATTTGAGCAATAAAAAATATATAGTAAACTCAAAGTTGGTTATTAATTCAGGCCAAAATGTATTCTGCTACATGTTTTGGTAAAAAAAAATCCCAATAAGTGTATATTGATTGCTTTGTGTGGAAGTTATAACGTCTACAAACTATGGTATAAATGCTGCAATTTACACCATTTTTCTGCTATACAGCGCTTTACAGCTTTCTGCTATACAGTTTAACGGACAATTGCACAGTCATGCAATACAGTACATAAATTAAATTTACATCCTTTTTTCCCCCACAAATTGAACTTTCTTTCGGTGGTATTTGATCGCCTGTGTGGTTTTTATTTTTTGCGCTATAAAAAAAAAAAGCCTGACAATTTTAGGAAAAAAAAAAAACAATATTTTGGACTATTTGCCATAAAACATGTCCAGTAAAAAAAAAAAATGCAAAAATCAAATTTAGTCATAAATTTCTGCCAAAATGCATTCTGCGACATGTCTTTGCTAAAAAAAAAATCCCAATACGTGTAAATTAATTGGTTTACAAATGGCGGGAAAGATACTGGGATTTTTAATTTTTATTTATACTAATAATGGCGCCGATCAGCGAATTATGGCGGCGATCAGGGACTTATGGCGGGACTGCGGCGGACATTTTGACACTGGGGGGGGAACTGACTTGGGGTCACTGACATCCCCAGTGACACCAATACAGTGATCAGTGAAAAAAAACACAAACTGTACTAATGTCACTGGGGAGGAAGGGGTTAACATTTTTAGGAGTTTACTGTGTAAGGGGAGTGTTTTACTAGGGGGCGGGGGTGTGTACTGGAGGGGGGGGGGGGGGGGAAGAGAGGGGGGAGCTGATCAAGAGGGGAGAAAAATTCTTCTCTCCCTCTTCAGCTTGTCGGGGAACTGTCACAGAGCAGGCTGTGTGTAAACAATGCAGCTCTGCTCTGTGACAGTGATGACAGCTCATCGCGGGGAAACCGGCCATGACCCGGCGGCTGACACCCGCGGGACAGGCAGGGCGGGTGCACGCCTCACGCGCGCCCCCTACCTGTTTTGCGAGGTCCGTTTTAAAACGTTTTGCCTACCAGTGCCGCCCTGCCACCGTACATGTACAGTGGCTGGGCAGCATGCGGTTAACCTCCCTAGCGGTATGATTATGTCCATATTTCTGTGCTGAAAGTGGTACATTTTTTTGCATGGAAATGTCTTTTTTTTATTGGAGGCCTGTAATTTTTAGGAATAACTCACTGAAATCTGTCCGAACAAGAGTCTAGTAAACATCCGGTTCACGGTGTCCTGAGTGTTCCAATCTACTATCCTGGAGAGATGGCATGCATGGAGATAATTCTGGATGTTGGGTAGGCATATTCCCCCTTTGTGTCTGGGAAGCGCCAGTCTAGCGTAACTGATTCGTGGTCTGTGATTGTTCCACAGAGGCTCCTGTAAGAAATTGTGAGGTAGGTGGATGGGTATAGTTTGTAATAGGTAGAGGAGTTGCAGGACAGCATTCATTTTGAGGGGACTGGAAGTCGTCCCTGAGATTTGATATAGCTGCAAATACTGAGGATTTTATGTCTGCTGCTACCGCTCGCAGGTCCTCTAAGTTAAGCGGGGGTGCAGAGTGCACTGGCAGTGCAGAACAGGAGTGGTCCCGGGCTGCGGAATGTGAATGCTTGCGATCTGTAGAGCAAGAATGGTCACTGGCTGAATAGCTTGGACGGCTACATGTTACTGCGCTGATGTGATCATGGGTTGCATAGCTAGGGTGGTCACGAGCTGAAAAACTGAGGTGTAATCACGGGCTGCAGAATGGAGATGGTCACAGACTGCAGAATTGGGGTGGTCACGGGATGCAGAATTAGGGTGATCACGGGATTGAGAGCTGGGGTGATCATGGGATGCAGAATTAGGGTGATCACGGGATTGAGAGCTGGGATGATCACTGGCAGCAGAACTGGGATGATCGTGGGCTGTAGAAATGGAGTGATCACGGGTAGCAGAGCTGGGTAAATCATGGGCTGCAGAGCTGAGGGGATCACAGGGGAGAGTATTGGGATACTCACAGGCAGATGAGCTGGAATGTGCTGGTGCTGCAGAACAGTGATGGTGACAGGCTGTGCTGCAGTAGTGATGACTGGTTGTTTGTGCAGGATGGCTGGGAGAGCTATCTCTGCTAGCTGGCTGCTGCTAAGGAGGGGCCTGTGAGGAGAGCTGGGACAGCCCTATATTCTCCCTGTGCTGGGTCTGGAATATCTCTGGTATATTTCTCCCCAGCTGCGTGCCTTGGCCCCTAGGAGAACAGGACCAGGATGCGGAGGAGTTCCGCTGGCTTTTGCCCATCCTGGAGCAGTGAGAAGCCGCCTGTGGAGCAGAAACAGGACGTGAGGCTCTGGAACGCTGGGATCAGGCAGCCATCTTAGGTCGGGACCAGACCACGGCCCTGTGAATGGTTTTCATTCATGATTTGTTTACTATTAGGATTGCCATAGCAATCACATGGTACATGGCCACTGGGATTGGCCCTGCACCATGTGATCACTGTGACCAATCACATAGATCACAATAGTAAACAATACTATCACGAATGCTATTCATTTAATAAAAATGTAAAATGAAACATGAACATACCCTCATATAGTGGCAATCAATAACAGAACCTAGTGTGGATCTGGACCCCTTGTTCTTCTGCAAACTGCATGTGCAGTTTTCTCTAACCCCTGAAAATCCATGGTGACAGGGTGGGCAAACACTCCATTCAGGGCTGAGATTATACTGTACTGTGCTGGTAAGTGTGATGTCAGGTCCCTGCCACCTGGAGTAATCTGCCATGTGTACTTTTAAGAGCTCTGGAGGAGAGAGGGTTGCAGCTGAAGAGATGCAGCTTATGTAGGAGAATATTCTTCAGGATTGCTTATGGCTAGTCATTTCAGGGGGCTGATGGAAAGGTTTTATTACCACTGACTGGCTTGTGCAGAAGACATCTTTGTAACTTTTTTTTTTTTTTTTTTTTAAACTGCCATTTTAAACATAACCATAGTGGTTTTTTCTAAGGCAATAAATTACCCATTGCTTTTTGGCAATGTGGGATCCTCTTTTTTTTTTTTTTTTTTTTTTAGGTATTCCTCACCTGCAGGCTCTTTGCTACACCTAAAGAAGGCATAATGTATGAAGAATATATGTATCAGCCATATTCATCCCTCCCCCCCCATTAAGATTTATTACTACTTCACAGGTGCATAGTAACTACATACAACAACCAAAGATCCAGTAGCCCATCAACACGCATGGAACACATTGCATGGCTGGTTAATGTGGTTATAAAGCCAATATATATATATATTTTTTTTTTTTTACAACACTTGATCCAGGGCCGTGCCTGTGAGCAGGGGGAGGGGGGGCTCAGCCACACTATGAAGGTGTGTGGAGACACACAGCCGGTCTGGGGTAAGCCCACACATCTGCCCCAATAGCAAGCATCTTGCTATGGTGGCAGACACTAAAGTGGAGGAGCCAAGAGAGCTGGTGGGGGACCCTAGAAGAGGAGGTTTGGGGCTGCTCTGTGCAGTTCCATTGCACACAGCAGGTAAGTATAGCATGTTTGTTATTTTAAGAAAAAAAAAAGCCTTTATAACTGCTTTAAGGGAAGGAATTTTGAACACACGTACGTGACAGCAGAGCAGAACTTTGAAGATATAAACCCAGGAGGAAAAGAACTGCTTGTTGAATGAACCCCAAATTTCAAAATGTTTACCTCTCATGTCCCCCACCCTCCTATCAGAGCAGTTCTACTGGGACAGCGTGATCAACCTAGTAAAACTCAAGTGAATTTCGGCCAAATTATCCACCCCTACAGTAGAGATGGAGGGGACCAATGATCCAAGGAGGAGTAGCTGGCCACTAGGAGGTAGTAAGCAATACAAGCTGGCAAATATGGAGGGGAGGGATTCTGCAGGCAAATTGCAACCCATCTAGTATGGAGAAACAAGGAAAAAAGCAGTAAAAGGGTCGAGAGACCTAGGAAGAAGAGAGGGGGAAAAGGAGTGAGGGAATAAAAAGGGACGGAAGCATAAACCTCTAGAAGACCGTGCTCCTGATTGGGTTCCTCTGTTGCGTTGGGGCATTCTTGCCTCTTGGTGCACATATTGTGGAACAGCAGCATGATTTGACGGGCTTAAAGACTATGATAACCTTTTTAGACTGGTGTGTGTTGAAGCTGAAGAGGTTGTAGTTACCATACATATTTAAACACATGTTCCATGTTCAGAAAGAAAATGGACACTGCTTTGCATGTTCAGCTTTTCTTTCAGTACCTCAAAGCAGGAGTTGCACTGCACTAAAAAACAACTGATAAGTAGGATTCTGAGATCAAACAATCCAGTTAATACAGATAACCAGCAGATTCAGTGTTGTAGCATTTACTTGGCTATAAGGGCAAAACCTTGCAAATTGTTAGGAGACACAATAGGTGACAGTAGCCATTATTGAAGGTAGAGCTGCAGCTTGGCAGGGTTTTCTAAATATAGACTGAATAAGCTGACAACTGCTAGGTTTCCACTGTATCACCTTCATTTTAAATGCTTAGCCTCCCTGGAGGTATGCCTGAGTGTAGCTCGGGGTAAAGTTTCAGCACCACAAGCGGTAACCTCGAGCTACACTCAGGAATACCCTGCAGCGCTGCTGCGGGATCTCTTCTTCACTTACCTTGTCTTGCACTCCTGTGATGTCCCTCCTGCAGTGTCCCCGGCAATGTCCTCTGGCCGATGCCGGCATCCGTCTTCTGGGTTCCGTTCCCTGTGATGTCGGGATGTACGGGGACGGAACGCTGGGAAATTTGAAAATTGTAAAGATGACATTCACTAAATTCACTAAAATCACATAGTAAGACATTACTGTATCAAACCATTTCACATACATATTGTCCCTAGTGCTTTGTCCTGTGCCCTGCCTGCATTTTTACTGTTCTTTCTGCCTGGAAACTGAGAAACGTCCATGGAGTCCAAAAAGCGTCCCTTTAGGTCAAAAGCGGTTTTAGACCAGCTAGAGAACAGCGATAGTAAATTAGAACTGCTTGCAGAATTGAGTGATGATTCGTAGGGAAATTCGTCATCAGACACTGAAAACGATTTTGTGACTCAGTGATGTGCCAACTTGGCGCTCTATTTCAAAGTTCAGTGTTTTTGGTTTGATTATATTATTGAGTTAAATTTATTATTATTATTTTTTATGATTATTTAGTAAATTATCATTTATGATTTCGGGTTTCAAATTTTAACATACCCCTATGTTTACTAGACTCTTGTTCGGACAGATTTCAGTGAGTTATTTTTAAAAATTACAGGCCTACAATAAAAAAACGACATATTTCCATGCAATGTACCGCTTTGAGCACAGAAATACTGACATAATCAGACCGCTAGGGAGGTTAAGAGCTTGTTCATATGAGTGACAGCCCTTATGACCCCTCTGAAAAGCAATCCATAAAGGATAGCTTTTTGGAGGTGATATGTTGCCTCCTCACTGCATTAATTAACCCTAAAAATGCTGGCCCATTGTGCCACAGCATTGCAGTTAAATGGGTTGCGTTGGCTTACGGCCATCCTAAACAGCTGCATTAACTTCTTTTAGGTGGGCAGTCAGGGTAGTAAATCTTTACATGTACAGTAATGACAGTGGTTGTACAATATCCACAATAAACAAAAGTACAAAAGGTTTTGTGGATTACTTTAGCACAAGCAAAGTTGGTCAGAATATAGAAGAGATCACATACAGAGCAAGACCCAAATGATAGTTTGCCATACCATAGTACACAAATGAATGTAAAATCAAAGTGTATTATTCAGGGGCGGACTGACCATTTGGAAACTCGGGCAGTGTCCGAGGGCCCAGGGTCAGTAGGGGGCCCCATGAGATGCCCCTGGTACCTTTTTCATAGGCTTTTTTAAGTTTGGGCAAGGACACGGGCCCCATGGTCTCCTATTGCCTGGGGGCCCCATGAGTTGTCAGTCCGCCCCTGGTATTATTGTACGTTGTGTGTGAATACGATTTGTGTGTTGCCTCTGGCAGTTCTATAGGCAATGCAGCTACATCCATGTACAGTATATATACCCTGTTGTGTGTCTAATTGATTGTTTTTTGTTATGCTGCCATCTTGTGGTCATTGTTTTTTGCACTCCTTCTGCAACGTTCTACATGTATTACCATGTTTCCATGAATATAAGACACTGTTTTTTATATATTTTTTGGCTCAAAACACACTAGGTCTTATTTTCCGGGTTGGTGTTATTTTTTAATGTCCAGGTGTGGACAGGGGGTGCAGAGGTGAGCTGCAGGCAGTTGTGGATGAGGGTTACTATGGAGAGGGCTGGCTGATGACAGTTGTGAGGTGCAGTCAGGTGTTGCAGAGGTGAATTGACAGGTGAGTTTCAGACAGGGTGCAGTGGTGAGTTACTGACAGGTAATGCAGAGGCAAGCTGTGGCTGGGGGGGGTGCAGAGGTGGGTTACAGCCAGGGGCAGACTGACCATTTGGAAACTCGGGAACTGCCATGAGTTATCAGTCCGCCGCTGGTTACAGCTCAACTATGCAACTCACCTGTCAATTTACCTCTGCAACACTTGACTGCAGCTCACCTTTGCACATCCCCCCCCCTCCACTGCCTTTATATGGTTAGCTAGCTTTGCAAAACACAGCTGTAGTAGCCGGCCCCTCTCTATAGTAACTACCATTTCGGGTCCTATCTTCCCACACAGTGCACCAAGCATACTCACTCACTCACTGCTCCGCCTCTTCCGCACTGGCCGGTGATCACCCCTGGGGCATCAGCTTCCATGCGTTGGGCTGCAGGACAAGATGCCCTGCCCCACCCCTAAAAACACTGCACACTGCACCCCCAGATATTTGTTCCTTCCCTGTACCACAGTGAGTACAGAGGTAGGGGGGTTCTGTGGGAGCAGATGGTGCTGTCACTTACAAGAGGGACTGTCACTTGAAAACACAAAAGCTGCACTTCTGTGTTTATAACAGACAGTAGATATTGGTGTGCACAGGGCCAGTGCCAGAGTTGGTGGGAAACAAAAAAGCCCTGATCACAACTAGGTCGTATTTTTGGGGTAGGTTAATGCTTTAGCAGTTCCCAAAAGATAGTACTAGGTCTTATTTTTGGGGAAACAGGGTAACAGAGAAGTTCAGGAATATGAAAACCAAACATTTATACTCATCTAGGTGGATGCAGTATTGGTCCGATGCTGCATCTGTGCCCCCCCACCTCTAAGACTGAGAGCTGAATGATCAAAGACTACCGATTGCTCAGTTCTCAGATTTCAGTGAGCAGAGAGTCAGTGACTGTCAGTCACTGGCTCTCTGCTCTGTCCCTCCAGTGCTCACTGCAGTGTCAGACTGTTGAAAGGCTGGCTCAGGCTCTCAGCCGGTTGCTGAGAGGCTTAGCCAGCTGCCAGTCCATGTATCTGGTATCTGGGTGGATCCTGACATTAAAGGAGAATTTCAGGAAAATTTTCTTTTTAATGCAGTGGAGCTGTGCCTGCACTGCATGGGTTAACTGCTTCTTTTTGTCTAGGGGTGAGGAGAGAGGAGATTTACTTACCTAATCTGCTGATCCTCCAAGCGCAAGACTTGTCTCTGCTGCTCCTGCACCCCTCTTTCTGGAATCTAACGGTATTGTGAATGGACTGGCTCTGGACGTGAGGACAGCAGGAACAGCCTACCACTGGACAAGGGGGAGTGCTGTTTTCCAGAAGATCGGGTAAGTATAGCCTTTCAGCGCACCCCTGGACAAAAATAAAAGTTAACTCATGCAGTTTGTGCGCAGCCCCACTGCATGCAGAAAAAAATATTTTTCATGGAGTTCTGCTTTAAAGTCAGGTTCAATCCAGAGCCTGGACCAGCTCAGTAATCTCATCTGATAGCAGACTTTAGCCTACTGTCAGCTGAAACCGGGTTGTAGAAGTGCAGAACAAAGTGCACTCCTGTGATTCATAGAAGTAGTAGGGCCAAAAGCGCTTTGGATATGCTTTTCCTTTAAAAATATTTATGGATGCCAAGTACTTGGAGGGTTCACCTATTTGATAAAAATGGCAGTGATTGTCTCCGCTATAAGCAGGCAGTCTCAGGACCAGATAAGTCACTATTACAACAGCTGAAGTGAGAATAATTTGTAGCATGGATCCCTGATTTAAGTATTTAAAGGGTAATTGTTATAAATTACTTTCTTACAGGAGAATTTGATTTGTTAGCCACTGGGTCAGAGTTGGAGGGGATGAATTTATCCACTTGATTGCAAACATCTTGTGGGCCATAAAAAAGTTTTATAAGTGTATGCATTAATGTACTAACAACCTCTTTTTATGCAAACAACTTTTTTTTTTTTGTTTGGGTCCTTTCAAACAAACAGCTACAGATACTAATCTGAGGAATGCATCATAATATAGTGAAGTACTACATTTGACCAACAGAGGGAGGAATTCCAAGCTTCAGCTCCAAGTTCAAAGTAGATCTGCATCCTTTAATAAAACATTGTTCTTATACTAAATAACCCTTTGAGCAACTGCTAATAAAAAATAACCCTTTGTAGAACCTTGATTTGTGAATGTGTTAATGCTGTCTCTGATCAGATCCCCAAACATGAGAAACTTTAAAATTCTAACTGCCTTTTTGATAACAGAGGTTTCACCCATTCTTCACACACATGCATGCGATTCCTGGGAGTAAAAAGCATTGCATTGCATGGAATTATAAAACATCAAAAAATAGGTTGTGCTTAAATACATACAAAAGTGTAACAAAAAATGTGACAAAACAATAAAAGCAATATTTTAAATCAAAGTGAAATCAAACAAAAAAGGAAAAGTCCAGAAGTTCAAATAATCAATAATGTCCAAAATAATTAATCGCCAAGTGAATCCACCACCAAAAATGGTTGAATAAAACTCACCAGAGTAATATGCTGATTGTTAAATCCAGCATATAGCACTTGTTACTCTGGGAGCAATGATTAATATGGTGACAGCAACACTGAAGAAATGAGGGATGAACTCCAACAGATGATGTTCTGCAAAGCTGAAAATCCACTCCAAAGGTGATTTAGTATCCAAACTGAGAGATGATCAGACCGTCACTCAAAAGAAAAAAGTGAACAATCATGGTGCAGTATGTTTTAAAAAACATCAAACTTTAATGAAGATTGCTAAAAGTTTGCATTAAAAACAGAGGGTTTTGTTTGCACAGGTTTGCAAATATATAGGTAAGCCACAGTTCCCACAACAAGGGACCCTCTGTATACTGCAGTTCTAACTCTATAACGTTCATAGGTTAAGGTCAAGTGTGCCTGGAGGGAGCCCACCCCTCCTTAAAGGCACAGGGAAGCACATGATGCCCAGCCACAACACAATGGCAGCAAAGGCATCCAAAGCATCCTTGCACCCAGTTTGTCCAACAGCACAAAAAATGGCAACCACCCCAACCTATAGCTAGCCTTTACAGCAATGTGCACATGAAAGGGCAACACACATTGCAAAAACAAACAAAAGATTTCACAGGACACTTACCTGCCAGCCTGGCCTCATTATAATAAAGGGGAGAACTAAACCCTCCTATCCTTTACATCCAAGGAAGCTGCCATCTTAGCCTCTGTTTGATCTGCAGTTGCCATGGTGCTGCACATGTGATTAGCTATGATACCAGCCATTTCATGGCTTGACAGTTTGGTTGAGTGCTGACACAAGCAGTAACAGTTAAATCATTTAAGTCACGCCTTGAATGTAACTGTTTTGGGAAACAGGTAAATCGATGGATTTAGTTCCGCTTTTAGGGCTCATTCACACCATACGAGCAAGACAACTGATGGAAACTGATGCACAGGATTCATTTTCAGAGACATCAGTTTACAGTTTTCATGCATATATGCGCGTTTCAATGACTATACACTTTGCAGATTCCTGCACAGAAAAAATCTGTTGTGATGTGAGCAGGGCACATAGAGAACAAATTGACTTTGTGGTGCCCTTGCAGAACGCATGCAGAAAAACTGAAGGCTTGTTGTGAATGAGTCCTAACCAGGGACGAACTG